ATATTGCTAAATTTATTATAAAATTTACATGTCTATAAACTGAAAATGAATCAACTGTAATATGTAAAAGATATGAAAAACTTAACTGCTACCAAGGTGTCTGCTCATAAGCTAATTAAAATAAATCATGAAGAAAAGCCTCACTGACTACATTATCAAAATATCAAAATTAAATATCACTTGTATTTCTGTTTCAGCAAGGTTTGCGTACACTGGTAATAGCAAAAAAGCCATTAACTTCTCAGGAATATACACAATTTAAAAACCAGTTGAGAGAGGCAAAAGAAGATTTATTTTCTCAAGAAGAAAAAGTAAGTTATTGTTTGTCACATACTTCTTTGAAACTGTTATCGCAAAGAAAATTAATTTTCAGAAATATCTTAGTTGATTTCATTATTTTTTATCTGATGAATTAGCTTTTATAAATATATTATACATTGTCTTATGATCAGATGGACAAAGTCCCCATCTGATTCAGACGCTTATAGATATGTATCATTGATTAACCAAGTTTTTGAATTTACTTATTTAGAAATTAAAGCAAAAAGTCTTGCTTATGACTTTTATAAACAAAAATATATCAAGTGAAGTAGTAAATCAGATACTGAATTTATATATATATATATATATATAAAAATTCATGATGGCAAAATTTTCTCTTTTTTGCCATTATATATTTGCAAATATGATTTCTTCTCTAGCAGAAATATACTCTGAATATATATTTTCAAGTTTTGTATAATACTTATTTCATACTTATGGTATCTATTTAGTTTTAGATGACATATGAAACCTTTTGTACTCAAAAAATCTCTCTCAAGTCTTACATGCAGTATTGTAGTCTCTGGTAGGATACTCAGATACTATATATTAGACTAACTCTTGTAACCAAGTTACTTATGTATTTTTAATTTAATATACACCTGCTGAAAGAGTAAAATGGAGTTAACTTAATAAATTAGTATGAAAAACTTAAATAGCTAAGTAATTTGGATTTTGCTAGTATACCAGAAATATTTTAGGAGATATCTTTCTTTCTACTAAAGTTGAATTGGTTATTTTAAACTAAAAGTTTGAAAACAGTGAAACTTTCACATAAGATGTTGACAAGAAAGAAACCAGGAGCCTGCTTGGTTACCTGAGTTAGGAAAATATCAGCCTAAAGAAAACAGAATTATCTTGTAAGTGTGGGTGACTTTCTTGATGGACTATGTGTTTTGAGAATTAGGAGATTGAAATGTTTGTCATAAACATGGACACACCTTAGCTCAAGAAGGTGCAATGAGTCACTCTCTTGGAGGTTAGCATCAGCTAAGCATAGGTATAAAAAGTTCTTTTCAAATATGTGCTTGGATTTTCATGTGAAAGACACCTGCTTTTTGAAGCCAGAAGTGTGAATGCCATATCCAAATCCTGTTAAATTGTTACTGAAAGCTGAAACGTTCCATTTTAACTTGGATCTAAGGAATAAAAAGCAATTATTGGCTATAATAATCTCAGCGTTACTTTCAATGGCCATTATTTGTGATACAGTTTGAGAATTTCTGTTTTTCAGTGGCTGGTTTAATTATATTGAAACCTGCTAAATTGCTTTCAAGCTCATAAATGTGCTTCAGCAGTACATACCTAAAATAGGAATTTAATTATTTAAAATATTATCAAATAATATTAAATTTAATTTAAATATCTTCTTAATTCATTTTCTATTGTTATTCTCTTTCTTTTAATAGTGTTTTTCCTACATTCTCTCATACTCAGTAACCCCTTGCATCTTAGTGTCTTGCCTGGACTGAAATGACTAAGAAAAAAAAGAATTCAAATTACCGTTTTAAAGATGTTTACTGATAATGTCATTTGATATTGAGTGCCATACAAGAAAGAGACAATAGTGGGACTGTATAATAAAATCTATGCAAAAATTCTTTGCAAAGATCACTATTTATAGATTATTATTTTTTCATTTATGGGATGTGTTGAAACTTGAATAAAGCATGGAATAATAATAATACAACACAAAATGTACTTAAACAAAATGTATTGACACAAGAATGTGTACACAATATTTACAGATAGTTTGGTATATTCTTGGGAAGACCGTTCCTGTAGAATGGGTTGACTTAGTCGCAGTCGGGCAGAGTCTCTGGATTGGATCTCTTCTTCCTCCCCTGTCTTCCCGGTACCAACCATATTTATATGGTCGGTACTCCACTATGTAAATTAGGTGGATCGTACAACAACAGGATGAGAAGGCAATTTATGAGAAATGAAAAATCTGCAAGGAGTTACTGATTGCGAGAGACTATGAGAAAAAAAAACATTGCTAAGGACAAAGAACAATAAAAGAACAGAAATTAAGAAGGCAGAATATAATGATTGACATTGCATTTAAGTTTTTGAAGATCAAATTTGACTAGAAGAGAGTTCCACAAGCAAGAAGTGTTGGTGTAGAGTGAGTGGCTATGGTTAAATGTAAATAAATGGCAAAACTGCTCAACAAACAAAATTGAGAAAGTTTGTAATAAGCAAGATAAAGAAAAGAACAGGGCAAAAAATGATCTAAAACAAGCAAATAATATATGCAAAGCAAATTAACAGTAATAAGGCAAAGCAACTGTAATATGGTAAAATGTTCACTTGATTGGGGTTGACACACAAGAGCAAATTCGGACGAGCGAACATAGCATTCTGACTTCTAGACAATACAGATCATGACTGAGTCAGATGAAACTGAGAATCGGTCTGTTTTATTGGCTAGGAAGGAATCCCAGCATGCATTTGTGTGCTTCTGCCTATAAATTGGGGAGGGGGGATGTTTTGCAATCATTCCTATTTTGGATTGGAACCAACAGTAGAAGAAGAAACTGTTAGCATAGAATTTACAAGGATATCTTGCCAATTCTACTATGAGGAGAAGTTGCCACCAATCTAGTACTGCACTTAAATTATTAAAGTCTGGGTACCAAAGAAAAAAGTTCATCAGAACAATTACCATATTTATAGAAAAGGCACATGGAAATTACATTACATTGATGGGAAAATGAATGAAGCCAGGATGCCATATTAGGACCAATAACATTGTAGATTCTACTTTGTATTTAATCAAGAATCTCTAAATACATAACAGAAGCATCAGACCATATGTGGCAGCAATATTCAATGCATAGATGAATGCTAGACTTATAAATGTGTAAGATCGATTCTGGTGAGAAAAATTGTCTAGTATGAAAGAGTGAACCAACTTTCCTAGCAGCAGACCTAGCAATTGATTCAATAGAATCTTTCTACTTCATTTCAATGGAAAGGTTTAGTTCAAGTCATAATGAGTTGCTCTCTTGGAGGTTAGCATCAGCTATACTTAGGGAAGGCAAAAAAAGGTTCTCACAGACAATTAAAAGAGAGCAGTTTCATTTTGGAGCCTTTAAAATTAACAAGCCATTTCTGGCACCAGTTAACTAGAGAGTATAAGTCATTTTTTAGATCAGCTGCCAATTTGACCATATTGAACCAATCAAACTTGCTATTAAGTCAGGAGTAAATGGTTGTCATCAGCATAGTTACCAAGTTGTGAACTGATGGCAATCAAGAAGGTCATTGATGAAAATTAGGAACAACATCCTAAATGTTTTTGATTAAGCCCAGCTCAATCCTGAAGGATTTTCTCAATATAAGCCAACTGATTTTGTTTCTTTGACACTTGCAGCCTAATTGCCAGGGAAGTTACTGCAATTTGACATCAACAATCACTTCACTAGTTACTTCATCACCCTTTGTAAAATAACGCCCATGAAAAGTTGGTTAACTCAATAAAATTTTCCTCAGCCTGAAGAGAAACATTATATTCTTTAATGTTTTAATTAGGTACCTAAATCACTTAAATTAGGAAATCACTGAAAAATCAGCATACTGTGATGAAAACATGTTCCAAACATAATGAAAACATACTTTTATCATCAAAATCTTTGTTATTATTAAGAGGAAAGATCAAAGTATTTTTTGAATATCTAATTAAATTTTTTTACTCCCTTTTAGAACATTTGAAATTTGTTTTTCTTCCATCAGGGGATGTACTAACTTTTAGCATAGCAAATTTTAGCCTCTTTCTTGTGGTGACAGATACATTAATTTGGAAATTCTTGCAAAAATCAAATAATAGTCAGATTTTAATAAAATTTTCAGGACTTATTCATTAATGAATGAAATTATTTTTGAAATTTATTTTATTAACTACACTTACTTAATTTTATGAAAACTTGAGAAATTCAACATAATAAGTTTTAGTAACTATATTAGTTTAAAGCAGAATTCTTTGAAGAATTTAAATCACCAATTTTTTACCAAAAATCTGTTCTGAATTGAAAAATAAAAAGTACAATAAAACTAAAACATAACTTAATTAGAGAAGCTTTTAATTGCTTTTATGAATAATATATATTAAAGACAATATTGTCTGAAGAAAAAAATTCTGGATTTTTATAAGATTTGTTTTCATTTTTCTACAATTTTAAATTGAATAATTTATAAAGTTTTAAATCTTTTAAAATTCAGTTTCAATAGTGTAATTCTTAGGAAATAATGTTATTAAGTCAAACTATATTTACTAATCATATATTATAAAGCTTAATACAATCTGATTCCCCTGAATATTTTTAAAAAGAATTTTGATTTTTTTTTTTGTGTATATAAATCATAATTTTTCTAAGTATGTTAGTTCCTACAAGATATTATCATTAAAAGATCACGTGTTTTAAGGGATATATCCCCATTATGGAAAAAAACACTCATATAAAACTTATCATCTGCTAGCAATTCTGCTTTACCTTACCCAACTGTTAAGACATTAGACTGTCAATAAATTGATCAACATGTCAGAAAAACAAGACCCTGTCATTAAGAAATGCTTGTATACAACATTTTATGTATAAGTAATATTTGTTTCAAATCAGACTAATTTAACTTTAAATTTGCTAATTTTTCTCAAATAATGTTTCAGAAATAAATATTTTATTTTTGCAAGATTTTTAAAACTGAGAATTAACTTTTGTTTACAAATGTGTCAAAATGGCCAATTTCATTGATTTTACTGAAAAAAATAAAATTGATTCCAATTAATGTAATTTCTGTTTGTAATACACCACAAAGTATTTTACTGACTGGAAATAGTAAATTTTAATCCCTTAACTTTCAATTAAAACTAAACTGAAAGTTTCAAGAAAGCTTTTTCATTTTTAAAAATTAATTTTAAACATTATGTATAACAAATTAGTCGAGGTACCTAGTTTTTTTTATATTAAATGTAACGGGGTGGGGGTGGGGGGTTTCAAGATCTTGTATATCTTCAAGTACAATAAGTCATATCTATTTCTCTTTTGTTATTACTGACCAATTTTGACCGATTCTAACTTATCCCAGAAAATAAACATTATGTACAACTTCATACTCTAGTTTTTAATGCCTCCTATTAAATAAATAGGAAAATACTTGTCACTACAATGCTGAACATGATTTGATATTTAAAGTAATTTGTTTAATTTATTTAAATATTTGTGAATTTGTTTCAGCTTTCTGTGGTATATGACAATATTGAAACAAATCTTGACTTACTTGGAGCCACTGCAATAGAAGATCGCCTTCAGGATGGTGTGCCAGATACAATATCTGCTTTAAAGGATGCAGGAATCAAAGTAAGTTTTATGTGAACCTGACTTTTTGCCCTCTTATCATATTTTTTCAAATCCAGCAAAATCTAAATTCTTCACTCCACCTCATTCTTCTCTTTTCTAATTTCTTCTTTTTTATCTTCCTCCTCTCCATCAGTTTCTTCTCCTCAGCCTCATCCTTCTCACTTCTGCTTCTTAAATGGTCTTCTTGTTTCCTTTCTTTTTCTTCTCGTTCCTTTTTCCACTTCTCACTTCTATTCATTGCTTCTCCTCATATCTTCTTCTCCTTCTCATATCTACTTTTTCTTCTTGTATCTTCATCTTCTCATATCTTCTTCTCCTTCTCATATCTTCTTCTCCTTCTTCTTCTTCTTCTTCTTCTTCTTCACATATTTTCTTCTTCTCCTCATATCTTCTTCTCCTTCTCGTATCTTCTTTTTCTTCTTGTATCTTCATCTTCTCACATCTTCTTCTCCTTCTCATATCTTCTTCTCCTTCTCATATCTTCTTCTCCTTCTCATATCTTCTTCTTCTTCTTCTTCTTCTTCACATATTTTCTTCTTTTCCTCATATCTTCTTCTCCTTCTCGTATCTTCTCATGTCTTCTTCCAGTTATTCTTCTCTTCCTACTACTACTTTCATTTTTTCAGCTTTTTTATGACTTCACTATCAAGGTTTTGCTTAACTGGCCTTTCTTGTTTATTAAGGGAAATGTCAGTAAAACCTGTGGTTGTTACTACATCTAGATGTCTAATGTAGTAAAGAAATGGAAAATATTCTACATGTAATTCTGGCTCCTTGAAAATATTTTGCATATTGTTTCTTTATCTTTATTCCCAGTTTTCAGTTTGTGTTGCATTAATCCTGCTAATAGGAGTTTTAAAAAATGTTAAACTGATATTAATCACAAATGTTTCTCATTTAGGTTTATTTCTGCTTCAGTATAACAATGGTATATGAATGAATGTGGTTTTGTTTTTACAACCATTCTGCAAGAATGACTGCTTTTGAGATTAGATGTTTTCAGGATCTCTGAAGAATTTTTTATTTTTATTTTATTTTAGCTGGGCACAGTGGAAAGACTCTCCTCTAAGTCTTACATCTTTAACCAGTCATTAATTCTATTTTCAGAATTCAATTCATACCAAGTCTGAATAGTAAAGAGCTGAAAAGTGACATGGCTTTAGCCCCTCTATAAACTTGAACATGTTGTGTGTGAATATGAAACATATGATAACATAAATATAATAAAAGTTCAATTAAAAACAAAAGTCTTCATATTTATGGATATATATTTATGGATGTATATATATATATATATATATATATATATATATATATATATATATATAAATTCTAAATTTTTAATACATGTATCTACTTTCAAAAGACCCCCCCCCCCAAAAAAAAAAAAAAAAATATGAATTTTTGTACTTATCTGTTTGGTTTGTCAAGAGCCTGAAATGCATGCATCTTGATACCTTAACTTCCAGGAGGAAAAGAGAGTGAGATTGACTTTCCCACTGATCATCATGTTACTGTTTTTTATTCTCCTGAATATTTATAATTAACTTTTATTGCTATTTTTGTTTGGGTCAAGGGGAGATAACTTTTTGTCTATTGCTACAAACATATTGATACCAGTGATCATTAATCAGTTACCCTCATAGTGCATGGCTAGTTATTCTGCACTTTATAACTATCCTGGAACCAAATAAATGAACATTTTTGGTAATTAGTCAAATTTTATCAGCTTTCCCTTGAAACATTCCCTTTATAACAGGAGAGAACTATGAAAAAAGGTTTATTCTTCATTTATATTTCTCCCATTATGGGCATTATTATATCCATGATATAATAACATTGTACTTCATAGATGGAACGGAATAGCTGAATGGAAAAGGAATGACAAACATGCTATGTTCTCAGAGAGTTGCTATGTTGTACACAAAGTTATATATGCATAAATACATGTAACCCATCCAGAGAAATTATAACATATATGCAACAACAGTGTGTAAAAAAAGGGAAACCTTGCTTGTAATATTTCCCAAAGAGAAAAGTGGAGTTACTGGAGTTTCTCTATGAACATGGTGAGGTCATGTGGTTTTCCTTTAAGACCTACCACTGCGGTCTAGGGATGTCCTCCTTCTGCAGGCTCTACATTGCAACTGCCCTTTGTTACTCTATCCCCTGACATCAGTCACTAGCCACCATGTGACTATTTCAACAAAAAGGGAGACAATTGCCTTTTGCATTAGTACACCTTTTTGCTATCTTATAGCTGTAAAAAAAACAAGCAAACATTTAGCAAAAAATAAATATCTTAAGCTTTTTATGACCATACTATATATTCCTCAGCAATTGTTTTTTTTTTTTCCCCCAAACCTTAGCCGTTTCATGTAATTAACAAAACACATGACCATGTTGTAATCAGACCCATACTTTGACTTGGCCAATCCCTAGAAAAACAATGACTGGATTTTACCGATATTCTTCAAATTCTCAATCCATTCTAGATTTAAATTTCTTGGTCACTTTTTTCTGATTTTTTTTTTTAAATTTCTGTTTTACATTATTTGATTATTCAATATTGTTCCTTATGCAAAATTCCTGGTTTTTTAACTAAAAAGTTGTTTTTTTTATTTTTCTTAATGAACCATTTAGTTTGCTTTTTTTTTTCACAGGTGTGGATTTTAACAGGTGATAAAGAAGAGACTGCTGTAAATATTAGTTATTCTGCTGGACATTTTCAAGAAGGTATGACAGAGTTGAGGATCACTCAGTTTCGAAATACAAGCGACTGTGATATTTGTGGTACAATGATTCAGCAGCATTTACAAACAATAAGGTAAACAAATAATTATAATCATTTCCTTTTCTTTTAGTGCTTGTAAATCAAGTTGCTTTTTAAATGTCAGAAATCAAGTTTTAAGTCTCACAGGTTTGATTGACACACTTGTCACCTTCTTATGGCTTCTGTATTTTGTTTCCCATTTTTTCCTGTTAAATTGTTACTGAAAGCTTGAAACATGCCATTTTAACTTGGATCTAAAGAATAAAAGGCTCTTATCTACCATAAAAATCTCAGAGTAACTTTCAATGGCCAATATTTGTGATAGAGTTTGAGAATTTCTGTTTTTCAGTGGCTGGTTTAATTATATTGAAACCTGCTAAATTGCTTTCAATCTCATAAATGTACTTCAACAGTATATACTCAAAGTAGTCAATGCATTTAATCATTTTAAATGTCATCAAATAATATTAAATTTAATTTAAATATCTTCTTAATTCTTTTTCTATTATTGTTCTCTCTCTAATTAATAGTTTTTTTTCTCATATTCTCACATACTCAGTAATCCCTTGCATTTTAGTAGCCTTATTGCATTGCCTAGGCTAAAATGATTAAAATATAATTAAAATTATCCTCCTGCTGTCCATATAATTTAAATAGGACAGAAACTAAAAAGAAGGATCCATTTTATCATAATTTTTGTAACAGGTTTTCAAAAATTCTTTTTATCCACCATAATCTTTCATTTATACTTAAATGCATTCATTTAGCAACAAAATGTGCTCAAAATCATGTTTGCATGTTTATGAAGGTAATTTTATTGGTTGTACACTTAATTAATAAAAAATAACAATAAAATTTCCAAAAAAGAAGAGAAATAATAAGGTCTTGTTTGGAACATTAATCTTTATTATTAATATTCAGTGTATTTTAAAAATATTTTCTAAGTTGACTGGTGTTATATTTTTTATGCTAGCCACAGATATAATTACATATATTTGGAATATCTGTAATATCAAGAGTTCAGTTTTCTTTTAATTTTTCAATGAGCAAAGATGTGATTTTTTGAAGCAATATTAATTTTAAGGGTTCAAGTTCCAGGTTTAGGATTATCCTATGGCACAATAGCTGAGGGTATTAAAACACTGATTTATGAATTTGGTGACAGATTAATTGTGAGTTCAATCCTTGGGATAAGTTGTATGGCTTTAAACTCCTTAGAAACAAGAGGAGCAATACTAAATAAGAGCCAAACATGATAGACTTGGACAGCAGAATGTGAACAATCTATCCCCATAGACTGAATGTTTTTTACAGTTTGATAAGCTGTAAAAAACATTCTTTTAGATTTTTTATTGGTTATTTAAAGCCAGAAAATATTTTTAGATTATGAGAATTTTTTTGAGATAATAATTTACGGATAGAAGTCCTACTAATTAACCTAAAACTAGTGTGGGGAGAATAGATGGATTCATACCTTTCCCAAGGGTATTTGTGCATAAGTACATATAATTACTCCAGCTGAAATTAAAACTTGGTTCTCCTAATTCTGAGCTTTTATCCATTACACCACCCACACATCCAAGATTACAGCATCTGCTATACCCAAGTTGATCCTCCATCTAGATATTGATCATTAGGAAGTGAACAAAAGCAATGAGGAAAAGAAGAAAACAAAACTCTAGGCATAGATAAAAACATGGTCTTTTTAAAAGACTAAAGGAGACACACTATTATAAATATTCCAGTGTATTTACAAATAATCACTATTTCATTTTTCTCATTATATATCAAGTATTGAAAATTCTTTCAAGATATGAAGAGGTGGTTTAAGGCAATAAGTCTTACTGTTATTTGAAAAGCATAAAAATCATTTACAAATACTGTTTTTACTGCAACTACTTTTAGGAATTGGATTAAATTCAGGGTTCTCAAAATAATAACCATTTGACCATAGAAAATCTTTAAATGTTGAAGCCTATATGGCAGTTTATGAATTACTATAAAGTTGTAAAAGCAAAGAATATAAGAGTCAAATGACTTGTTCATCTCTGTTATAGATTTCAAATATATATATATATATATATATATATATATATATATATATATAATGTGCATGTGTGTATAATTTGAAATCTATACATTGCTTAACATAATATATTATTTGCTTCATATATTTTCTTAACTCAATGGAAGTTAATCAATAAGTGCATAACCTCACACAAAGTTATTACTTGAATTTTGACCAGAATTTTTCCACTGTCTGATCATGTGATTAATGTTTACAAAATTAAGTGTATTTACAAATTAAGTGTATTTACAAGGAACATTAAGAGTTAAATATTTCTTGCATAAAATAAATGCGTATTTCCATCACCAGGTTGCAAAGTTATTGATTGACATATTTAAGCAAAATTCAAAATCTAAATGAAAGCTACACGTATGCCCAGATAGTAATTATAAAGATATTATATTATTCAAATTTAATTCATTTCTTTAGTCCTATCAACTCCCAGCCAGAGAATATCATTAGGCAAAACAATGTGACAAGATGCTACAGTGTTGTATTAGTGTTATATCACAGATGAAAATTTTACACTAATACTGCATCTAATAGATTTTACAACTTTGCTAAATAAACAATATCATTTAGTTGCTTGATAATTTTTTTAAATGAAATAATTATTGATAACATACTTTCTGCAATTAACTGACAATAAATGAAATTTTCTCAGTCAAATTTTGAATCTCATATTTCATTGCATTATGATTTTAATTTTTCTATATAGTTTGTTCTTTATGATAATTGGATACTATTGGAAAAATGCTAACATGCCTTTTTATATATTAGTCATTTTGTAAATTTTACTTAGTGTAGCATACAGTCCTCAGGCTACTTACCATATATACTGTTCTTAATTAAACTAATATTTCCAGTCTGACCTCACCAAAAGCATGTTGCTTATAAATAAGAGGTAACTTTTCTGGATGAAAAATTCTAATTTTTTAATACACAAAAGCAGACCATCTTTGCATAATCTGGTCTAAAAACAGTGGACAAACAAAGGAGTTGTTTTGTTTGGACATCACTCATAGTAGTTGATGACCTCAACCATTCAATAAAGAAACTTGGATCTAGTTTGGCAAGTAATAAAAATGCAGAAAAGAATTTGCATTACTTTTAAAATCAGGTTAAGTATATCTGTAAACAGTTTGTTTCTGTGAAAATAAAACTTTTAACATTTTAGTTTTGTGCTATTTCTGGGTGTGTTCTGTAAAAATCTAAGAGTTTGCATTTTTTTATCCTTGTAAAAATAATGAGAAAACTTTCCTCTGAGGTTCTGTCTGTTTCTTCAACACATGTTGAATACACTGTTAGTCTGAAATCTACAGCCTTGTTTGTAATTCGAGTTCTTATTAATGAATTCATGAGAAAAATACAGGAAGGGAAAACAAAAATATTAATTTTCAATTTTCAGCTATTAATGAGAAATTTTTTGATTGATTAAAATGACTAAAGCAATCAACACTGTTTATGAAAAGACATACACTGAAGTGCCAAAAAAATAAAGACAGCTGCCAAAAGATGTGTAGCTCTCTTTCCTTCACATGAATAATGGTGGTTACATAATGTTGTAATGCATCTACAAGGTGCTTGCATATGTCAATTAAAGCTGCCTATAACTGATTTGTGTTTAAATAATAGGCTAGATAATTTGCTGATAGGCTAGATCCCTAACTTAACCATCTTGCCCAAAAGCTGAAAATATGACTTATTTGATTAGCTAATCATTAATCTTCTATCATCCAGTTATCATCTCTAGACCAGATGAGACACAGTAAGTGATGCAATGGTGTCAATTATAGTACTCTTACTGGTCAATGATTACAAAACCCATAGAATGCAGTGTCTGCTGTACAACATGTTGACTGATTTGTTGAGCAGCACCAGCATTGAATTGGGGTACAAGTTAATGTAATATTCCCCACTTTTTTTTTCCATTTTCTTTTCTTTTTTTTTTTTTTTGGAGGGATCAGAATTCATCAATTTCTAGTATACCTTGTTGTTACTGTGACTTGAGACCTAGAATAGTTGCTACTTTGGGGATAGTGCCCCATCTGCCTAGTCAAAAAAAATAATTCTGAAGCAAAATACGGACTGGGTCATTGCTCTTCCAAGTCACAACTGTATCAATTGCCTAAAGACCAAAAACAAAGGAATTATATGGGCAGATATGTAGGGTCTGGAGTTTTTAGGGTTTTTAGTTATTGATATTTTTTTTATTATTGCATCAACTAATTCCCACACTATTCCAAGTTTAGCTGGTTCAATTTTAATGTTGTTACTTTATGATCCACAGGCACAATTCTCTTTTACCTAACAAGTCTGGTGCATATCTCATGTTATTCAGATATCTATAAATACTTACTAAAAAACAATATTTTTACTGTTTAGCATTTTTCAAATTCCAGTTTTTCTACATAGCCAAAATTTAAAATTAATAATCAAAATTCATTAATTGATCTCTCAGAACAAAAAAGCCTCTGTTTCTCAGATGAAGACAAGCCAGATGCCTTCTAACATTTTAAAATACTATTAACTTTCTCCAAAAAAAAGCTTCTGAACCATACATATATGTCTTGAAGAAATATAGATATGAACCCATAAACAATTCTGTGAAAATGATTTTCCTCTCCTTGATCTTTAGCCTGTGAAGAGATATGTGTTATTCTGAGGGAATCAATCAAGTTCAGGGTCATTCATCAAGTATCATAGTGGTTGCTTTGTTGTTTTATTGAAATCCCTAAACTCACCTTTCAGTTCCAAGATTTGCAAAAATTTGGCTTTCTCCTCTTTGTTTCAAACTTAGTTCTAAATTACAAGACATTGCTTTGTAAAAAGAATATCATTCTACTTTTTAACTAGGTAATTTAAGTTGTTAAATCCAAGCCATCTAATTTTGGCATTTCAAGCTTTTATTACGTTAATTCTGTTATAATCATCTGTTGATTATAGATTTTGTATATTTGTAAAATCCATACTAACCATAGTCATAACAAGAAAAAAACATTTAATATTTATAAATTAATTACATACTACATCACTTGTCTATCTGTAGTTTATATATTCAAACCACAGTAGGATTCATTTAATTTTATATATGTTTGCTTTAGCTTAACCCCCAACAAAACAAGAAATGAAACAAAATATATAACATGGGCATTTATATAAGAAAAGCATAAAAGTTGTACATACAAACAAGCAGAATAATAGTATTTTTTAGAAAGTCATGTCCCTTCTGATTATGATTTTCTACAGATTCCTTTTTTATTGTGAATTAAGAGGTTTTCTTATGAAAAATATTTGAATGATTTCCCATTGCCTTTTGCATGGTTTAGAATTACAACTTTTCCTTCTAAAGAACGCAGTCTACTCTTCTAATTAACTCATAGCTGGGAAGAATAATAATATAGATAAGTAAATTTCCTTTATCTACAGGAGAGAGGTGTTTATAATCAACTAAAAAAATTAATTGAATTCCAGTTAAATCAGGTTTATTTTTATTCTTTGAATGTAAACCTATTTTTGTCTGCTTTGCTTGGAGAGTTTAATAATGATTTTAACTATGAAAGTTTTGAATAGACAGAATTATTTATAAATTAAACAAAATAGATATAAACATTATTTGAAGTAATTTTTCATATTAAACTAGTTTTGTCTATCTTTCCATTTGAATTTTATAATAAAAGATTGTATTAAATCAGTGACTTGGAAAATAATCAAGTGATTAATTTTCAGTTGCTTGAGGATAAATTCATATTAGGAAGACAATAATAATAATATAATGTAATATATACAGGTTGTGCAATGGACAGTTATTTTCTATTATAGTGATGGTAGTAATTGTTCAATAAGTAATTGTTGAATGAAATTATTCAGCATAGATTCCAGAGGCAAATTAATTTTCTCTCTCCTGAACAAATTGTTACAAGTTCTGATGGAAGTGAGTGGGCTCATTTTTAATTAGCAGGTGGGACAGGGTAATTCCACAATATTCCAAGAAATAAGAGTTCAATCCTTGTGAGAAAAGTTAACAGTAATAATTTATATCAGAATTCTTTTAACATGGAATTATCATTATTATAAACTTTTACATTTAGTCTAGCATTCTCATATGGTTGTTATACTCACAATATTTTAGCATTGTACTCTACGGTCTGCTTCAGGTGTCTGTTGTACTTGATGACCTTCTCAGATTTTAAACTGAACCCATTATTCTCTTGAGCAGAATAAGAACACTCTATCCATAATGGATAAATGGTTCAGTTCAAAATACTGTGAAGGTTACCAAGTACAACAGACATCTGAAGATGGCCAAAGAGTACAATGGCTGAAATGTGAGTATCAAAACCAAGATGAATATGGTAGTCTGAATGAATATATCTGTAATCCTTTATAGTAATAGATATAAAAACAAAATTCAGTATATTGGACATATAATGAAAAAGAGAAGTCAAACAAGAGACAAGATGCCTTTATTTCAAATCATATAACAACTTCCAAGAGTATGGTTTACAGTTTCCCCACCCTTGAACCAAATCATTGTGTGAATGAAAAAAACCTGAATGTAAATGTTGGGACAAATGATTTTCAGCAACACCTCATATATATGTAGTCCTTATCCAAATCCACATCTGCATTTGACATTGTGTCCTTAGTTGGTCATGTTTCATGATTTCTTTAGATTATATCATGTTGCTGAATATGAGAGTGTGAACCTATCATCTGGTTCACACTCTTCCCCAGTCTTTTGAATAAGAGTAGAAGTTTATCCTTTGTTCCCTGTTTAAGGCTAGGTTGCTGGTTCCTTCTAAAGTCTACTTTAACTTTATACTTCTAATGTCTCAGCCTAAACTCTTACTATTTATTTATTTTTTTTTTACTTTCTTTTTCCTCAATAGGAGTAGATAGGTTCACACTCCTCTCTAGTCTTTTCATCAGGTGGAGATGTCTATCTCTTGTTCCCTGTTTAAGATTGGGTTTCCTGATCCTTCTAAAGTTTTCTCACTTCTAGTAAACTCTTCTGTCTTAGTGACATTATCACCTTGCTTAATTAAAAAAATGTTCTTTGATTACTTAGTCACAACATTTTACCAAATAAATTATGCTTATAATTATGTGGTTGCATTTCTCTTTAGCACCTGACAAATTTATGAATTTTGATAAAATTGTCTTTAATGTTTTCTCTGCTAAATCCAACATTTTCCACAGATTGTTTTTGACAGAAATCATGTTTTGTTCCAATATAACATATTATGGTCTTCATTATTCACTTATCATTGTAATATTTTACAATGTTTTTTTTTCACTGAATGATCTATACAGATGTTCATATGCTCCAAAATCATATTGCTTTCAGCACTGACTTGCAGAACCTTGAAAAAAGAATCAGATATGCCTTGATTGTTGATGGAAGCAGTTTGAGTTTAGCCATAAAGTACCATTCAACTCCTTTCCTTGAATTATGCATACAGTGCGCCTCGGTGTTGTGTTGTCGGTTATCTCCAATTCAAAAAGCTCAGGTAACATAATGGTGAATTACTTTATACTTTTTATCAACAAAATATCTCTTCCTAGTGTGACTGCATGTTCTTAAATGTATGAGTACAATAATAATTTTCAGTTTTCATCTGTTTTAGTATCCAGTAAAAATAAACTGAAATACTGTTATTTAACTTAAAAGCATGGACATTTTATCTGTTTTTTTTTAATGAATAATTTATTTGAATATGAGGATAAGATGAAATTGTGATTTACAATAAAAAAATTAATAGAATACTTTTGAATATTTATTTTGTGTTAATAAAAAAGCCACAGTCTAATATATAAAGCTCAAAATTTTAATGTATATGCCTGTCTGAAACCTTGAAAGTGAATTAAAACTGTGATATAAAATACTTACCTGGGTGTATCATCTCTCAGTTGCATCTTTGTATTCAGGCAGAGTGCGGCTCAGTGATGACTCTGTCTGCTAACAGAGACACAGTGAGGAAAATAAATACTGTGAGGTGCCTGGTCCTGGGGAACAGCTGCCCAAGTCTGCAAGATAATTGTCCAGTCAAAATCTTGTGTAACTGCAGATGATGGGAATGTCAGACATTCTTCTATGGCTCAACTGCAAATACCAAAATTTACCATCAGTTACACATAACTAAAATTTAATACAAATGATGAAAATTTTCATTATATTGTGAATGAAGAAAACTGTTTTATCCATGAGTCAGGACATCAAATTGTCAATCATTCTAACTAATCCATGATTAAAATTTATTAAATCAAAAGTAATTTAGGATTTTTTCCCCTACCTTAAAATGACCAAGTGAGTTATTATTGAAAAGCTTTGCATATACAAAGTGTTCCAAAAAGTCACTTAGGTATTTTTTCATAATTTTTTGTCAGAACTTAGATCAAATATTAATATATATATATATATATATATATATATATATATATATATATATATATATATATATATATATATAAGAAGATGGGTAATTTCACTATGTTAATCTAAGTTCTTAAAAAGCACAAAGAAATAAATGTATGAAAATATCTAGGTGACTTTTAGAATACTCTTTATCTTTATAAAGATGATCAATCAAGCTTAGATTTATCATCTATAAGTGCAAATGTATTTACTAATTAAGTCACTAATGAACTCACAATTGATGATTTTTTTTTAAGCAATTCACCCCAAGCAAGGTGACAGTGTCACTAGCATACAGGGGGGGTTACAGAGGATTGAGAACAAGAGTAAAGAGACATGTTTGAGGAAAGGATACAGAGAAGGATGGAGAACAAGCTCAGGGACATTACACTTGAATATTTGAAGATTATAGCCATTGGGGAAGCAAGTAAGGGGAAGGGAGTTCCACAGACGGGAAGTGCAAGACAAGAAGCTGTTTGAGTAGAAGAGACAGCTACATTTAACCATTTTGACAGTGAAAGTGTGGGACCGAAATGCCAGCCTGGTAGCTTGCTTAAATTCATGCAGTCTGGGAACCAGTTGCCATGAAAATACTTGTAGAAGAGACGGGGGAGCCATGGCACATCTGTGGGAAATTGACTGTAGACTAGATGCCAGATCAGGACCTATCACATTGCATATTCGTCTCTGGATTTTGTCGAGGTCCTCGAGATGTACAGCAGGAGCACCAGTCCATATATGACGGCCATATTCCATGCAAGGATGGATGGTTGATTTATAGATTTGAAGGATAGACTCAGATGAGAAAAATTTTCTGGCATGACACAGAGAACCAACTTTCCTTGCGGTAGATGAAGCTATTGATTCAATGTATTTATTCCACCTCATTTCAATGGACAGCGTGAGACCAAGCAGGTGTAACAAGGCGCTCTCGAGGGGTTGGGAATCAGCCATTCTGATGGGAGACAGGGAGGGTTCTCTGTAATGGGTAAAGGGATTTATTAGATAAACAAAGACACCAAGCATCTTACAAACTGTATTCCTTCATTGGAAGCAAAAGAATTTGTTTTTTCACTTTTATTTGAAATTTGAGTCTCAAAATAAAGGAAAGCAATCATGATAATGATTTTTTTTAATCTACTCATTATTGAAATAATTTCAAAAGTTGTTTACCACACAAATATGAATTTTTCTAAATAAATATTTTTAGATTATTTTAGTTTACCCCAGGTGGCTAAGGGAGGGCATGCTCTACCAGAAAGACATTTGAAAGCTCCTGTGAAAATGACAATAATTTGTGTGCAAATTCTTACAGTTGTTTCTGACTTAAAGGTACCTCTCACCCTGCCACTAACATTCTGGGAATAGGCCTGGTTTTCCCTCTCGATTATTTTCTTTGAAATATTTAAAATCAGATTCAAGTAAGGAAAATTAAAAAGAACATAAAAATATTTCACTAACTGCCAGAAAATTAATGTTACCACCATATTTTGATAATGACAATTTGGCTGCTTCCACCATATTTAATGGGTTCATTTTGTTGATAATTGGAAAATCATTAAAATAAATTTGCTGTGGCCTATTAAGACTGATTGGCCTGCTTTTCAGTCAAGTCAAAATAACATCAAATCATAAGCGATGGCAGCAATATTTCAAAACTAAATTAAAACTTTTTGAAATGTGATTCATCTGTTTTTAACTGGTTGACATTCTATCTCACTTGAGCAGATCATATTTGCTATGCTAAAGCTTAAAAAGTTAATGTTAATTCTGATTTCTTATGTATTTTATTCAGGTTGTGAGATTAATAAAGACAAGTAAAGACCACCCAGTGACAGCTGCCATCGGAGATGGAGCCAACGATGTTAGTATGATTCAGGAAGCAGATGTTGGACTGGGTAAGCGCAGACTTGGTTATTATGCTTCATATTATTTTCTTACTCAGAAGTGTTAAAAAATAATTAATATTTATGGAAAAGTGAAATTAAACCTTTTTTTTTGACAAGAAGAATTTTCTTTTACATGCTTTTCTTTTTATATTTTCTTTTTTTTAATCAACAAAAGCAAATACCAAAGCATTGTATGAACAATAATTTTTAATCAAAGAAATTATATAAATAATTTTGATGATCAATTAAATACATTCTTCTTCTATGTGCCAAGTTCCTTCAGGAGGTTGTGCAAAATTTAGAGAAAATTATAGACATTACAACCTAAAAAAACACTTGGTATAGTGTCATGGGTCCTTACCTATAACTACAGAATGAACTCTTCCTAACACTAAGTATACTAGGCCTCTCAAGAGAGAAGGATGAATCAAGTCGAGCCGATAGTAGTTCACTCCAAACCAGACTGACAGTCATACTAACACCTTCCACATCTTGTATTATTATTTTGTGTAATATATCTTCATTATTTCTACTCTTGTGCTTGTGTTGTTCTTCCTTGGTCCTAACCTGGACCATAACATATAGTAAAATGAGTGTCTAAAATGAGAACAGCCAAGACAGTCGGTTATAAACATAAATCTTTTTCATGTAGTGTTGTTCTATTTCCAATTACTTGTTGATTTCTTAAATAAAAGCATTAGTTTTAATAGATTGTAATGTTTGTCTGGTGCTGATTTTTTATTATCAAATTATCTTTGACATTTCTTTATTTTTATTAAAATATTATAATTAAATGAATACTATTTACTGTCTGAGTTTTCTTACATTATCAACTTTTACTTTTTGTCTCATATTTCTTTCATGTTAATTTCAGTTGCTTTTTAATGAAACTCTCAGTCCATTGTTTTATGTCAGTAGTAAGCAATAAAGATCAAAAATAAATACTTTACCTCTAGCAAGACTCTTTTCTCCAGGAAGACTATATAGCTGCAGCCTTTCCATCTAGGTTACATATAGAGAAAGTATGTTCTGGTGTTTAAAATATAATTTTAAAAAGTATCTATGTATTTAAAGTATATTTTTAAATTTTAAGACATAATTATAAATGATAGATTTTCTACATAAAAACTAAAGAAACAAAAGAATTTTTAAAATGTTTATAGCAGACAGACTGCCAAGATAATTCTTTATTCTATTTAATTTTGAAGAATTGTAATCAAGATTTCATGAAGTCTGTCAATAGGTCCTTGTTATATTGAAAAAAATATAATTGTAAGATTTGTTATTAAATTTATATATAAGCTATTTAGATTTCTTTCATGAGATGTTTTAATTATGTGCATATGATTTTATAAATTTTCTTCTTTCTTCAGGAATGGCAGGAAAAGAAGGTCGTCAAGCTGTTCGGTGTAGTGATTATGCCTTTGCACGTTTCAAATTTCTCATGCCTGCCTTACTTGTCCATGGTCATTATTTTTACATTAGACTTGCTAATTTGGTGCAATATTTTTTCTATAAGGTTTGCATATTAAATTTTACTTTTATTTTATAAAATTACTTGAAGAGATGCAAATAATTTTTGTTTTTATTTTTTGAAAATAATAAAGTTTGGTAAATTCTTAGAGTTTACTAGCAGATGACCTGAAAATATGCAAGCAAAGGGAGACATTTTGGATTTATTTAGATTTAACCAAATAAGGCCATATTTTTAAACAAACAGTATCTGGTTAAACTAACAGATGTTCTACAATACTATGAATTATTACTGTTAAAAGAGACATACTTAATTTTCAAGGAAAGCATGGAACAAATTCTAATAAATGTGCAAATACAGCTAAAGTTGCAATTGCAGAGTATCCAATAAAAATTGTCAATGTACCAATGTCCAACCAAGAAGATATATTTCCTAATTTAAGCTTTTCACATTTGAACTTCCACTTGAAAGTTTTAGACATTATATTTATTAAATCTTTGCAGCCTTCTTTGTAAGCAGAAGGAATATCTGTTAGCTCTCAATGTGATCTGTTTGTGATATATAGACATATATGAGTCTGTTATTAGTATATGTGTATATCTTATATTCATCTAGAATATTTTTCCTCTCTTAGTCTTGGAGCACTTTGTTTTAATGAAAATGTAAAGAATTGTAATTTTTTGATATCATAGAGAATTGTATGTTATAATCATCTTTTCTAAAATGCAGTAAAAGTTTATCTCCCCCAGATATGGGTTAAATAGTAAGAGTTGCATCTGGAAAAATATTATTCTTACAATAATGTTTTCAATTAAATAACCCACAAAGGGTTAATAAGTCTTAATAATACAACTAAACCAACCAATCAATCATGCACTAAAAGTTTTTTTTATAATAAAACCAACATTTTGCAATTGTATATTTTACTCCAAGTATGCATTCTGCCCTTAACAGAAATTAATGATTGCGCATGTGGAATGGCAAATATTTTTGAAAAAACTGCTGAAATAGAAAATATGCTCATAAAAAATAAAAAAAGAAAACACACACACACACACACATTTCAAATCAGCAGATTTGATCAGATGATTTGTGTGATATTGCCAGTTGAGTTGCTTGAAGAAAAATGTGACTCAAGCACTCCTGGATTAGGAAAAAGATGTGATTATTGTTTAATCTTTTTTTAAAAAAAATATTTGGCAGGTGGCCAGGAAATTCACCTGTCCTCAATCCCACCAAGAATCTTGGTACTATCATTGAAAATCTCCTTAAATTTGTCCAGAGAACAGTCACCTCATGAACAGCATTTGACACTGGGAATTGACAAAATTTACAAGAATTAAATAATGAACAATGAAAATTTAGAAGCCTCTTCCATTTGTTTAAAAATAGGTTTTAATATCATGAAAACTTCCTACAAAACATCTGTTTTTGGGGAGGTTCATAATATAAATATTATAATTCTATTTAGACATTTATTCCTTATTTTTGTTCCAATGAGATTTAATCAATAAGTATATAGTATGAGACAGTGATTTTTTACTCTTTGATTCATGGAGAAACATTGATTTAAGTGCATTGACAAGAAAGATTATATTAAGCAAATAATTTTGTGTAAAATAATAAAGTAATAAATACTTTTTTAACAATAGGTTACAAACTTATTGAGAAACACTTTATGGCAAAACCATAATTGACTTCAGTTATCAATATGGTTATTTAAAAATCTTTTGTAAGAATTCATAATAAATTTAACTAAAAATGCCATAGAAAAGAATGTAATAAGACAATTTTAAATATTAAAAAAATTTTCAAGCAAGAAAAAAATGGCAAAACTTTGTTTCACATTACCTTTTCTTCTTTTTAAATAAAAAGTAATTTACAATGCTTAACCCATTTGTTTGTTTTTGATTTTGAAGAATGTGGCCTTCATCACTGTTCAAATCTATTATGCATGTTTTTCTGCCTTTTCCCAACAGGTAAGAATTATCTTACTTATTTTCTTCCCCAAAATAAATCTCAATTTCAGATTTAAACTGGAACTATTTCTTACTTCCTTCAAAAGAATAAAACTCCAATCAAGAATATTGATATATCACAAAATCTTTGATATCATTTCTTGAGTAATAATTGTTTGGTGATAATATCAGTTAACTCCTTTGGACTATCATTCTTGATTTTATTAGAATATATTTATTCACTTTATCATAATCATTTTTATGATTCTTAGTGTTTTAACTCAGAAAAATCTGAATTCTTTTTATTTGCTGAACAAATTTTGAATTCATAATATTTAATCAATTACTTTAAATTCTGCGGTACTTAAACTCTTTTAAATGACACAAATAATACTGAAATAATATAATATAATATAAAATAATAATACTGAAATAATACTTAAGTGTGAATGTTTTAATATTTTAAATGTGAACATATCAAAATAAGTTTTTATCTTGATATCATTTCTGTTCTACATTTGATAACTTCTGCTAAAACATCAAAGATAGTTCTATCTTGTTAATATTGACCATGCATTAAAATGTACTGAAAGCAATGATTGCTTTAAATCATTTCTTTTATGTTTTTATATTATAAAAATATAATTTTAAAAATGGCAGCTTCTGTTAGCTGCCATTGTGATATTGTGATATAGTGACCCAAGTTGTGATATAGTGACCCGTTTTAGGGTCACTATATCACAACTTGGCTATTTTAGAGCAACCTCCCAATAATATTATTTGCTAACAACTGTAACTATGACTAAAATCAGGACATTACTATTACTGATAACAAGAAATATTAGAAGTAACCAGAAGTAAGATTCCCAATGGTAAAGCATGGGCTGCAATAGACAATCTGTCAGTAGTTTGGAAATCTGCTTTACTGGATAAATTGAAACAAGACTTCTTCCAAACCATGGCCGTTTCTGTTTTATTTTATGATAGTACTGCGTGTACATTGAAAAAACAATTGGGAAAGAGGCTAAATGGCACATATACAAGGATGCTAGTGATATGTTGTATTGAATCTATTCTGGAAACAACACCTTACAAAACAGCAGCTCTATGGCCATGTACTTCCCAAGTCATTCAAAAGAGATGAACAATATTTGTAGGTCATTCCTGAAGAAATAAGAATGAGCTTATACATGATGTTCTTTTGCAGACACCAAAACATGGACCCACTAGCATTGGTCATCTATTTAAAACATACATTCAGCAAATATGTGAAAATACAGGATACCAACTTGAAAACCTACCAGGTCTGATGGATACTTATGAAGACTGGATCTGTGCAATTGGTGCACCCTGACGATGATGAATATAAAACTAATAATTAAATTAATTTTTTCACAATACTCTTGCTACTAACAATATTTTTGTTTGATTTGTCTCAAACTGAGTGCACCATTATTATTTTGTGATATAGTTGAATAGCTTGTATATTTTTATTCCATATCTCCTTTCTCTTATTTATGAATTTAGATCTTTTTTCTTTTTGTTTTTCAGTCATTGTATGAAAGTTTTTTACTCATGTTCTACAACATTACCTTCACATCCATGCCTGTTTTAATGTATGGTTTATTTGAAAGGGACATTCAACAAGCAGATCTGCTTGAAAGACCTCACACTTATCAGTAAGTACAATTTAATGTACAGTGATACCTTGGCGTAAGTCATTTTGAGTTAAGTCATTCTCAAAGAGACGTCATTTTTTCTTAAATATTATATGGAAAAATAAAACTTTCCTTAGGTCATTTTACATGAGTTTACATTGGGCATCAAAAATATTAGAACCATTAAAACACTAAAATAATAATAAACACATATAAAATCAAATTTAAATAAATTTAAAAATAATATGTATACTATATATATATATATATATATATATATATATATATATACGGTACAAGGCAAAAAAATGGACACACCCATAGAAAGTTGATTTTTGTATTTTTACCAAGAGTAATAGAATTCATTTATTAATACAGGGTATTAATACAGGTGCACATATGTACATTATACAAGTCAAAAAGTGATTTCGTATTTTGTTGAGTAACCTTTTGCTTTAATAATGGCCTTGATTCTTCATGGCATGCTATAGATTAAATTCTTTAGTAAGCCAACTTCCTTTGCCAGAATTTTCCAGCATTCCTATAATTCACAAAAAACTCATCTGTGATAACTTTTCTATTACGGGCATGCTTGCCATTATCAACCAAAGATTTTCAATTGTGTTAAGTTCAGGACTCTGACTAGGCCACTGGAAGAGCTGCAGTTTACCCTCATTGCAGCAAAAATATGAAGAAACCCATACAAATTATGATGAACAAAATATAAAGCTTATTATATTTGTATTTACATTTATTAACATGCCTAAGCATTGTTCTGACTTAGAAAAGCCAAGTTACCACTTTTCATGATCTTGGGTTGTCGAATAGAGTGATAGCTGATAAGATTAATCAAAGTGAGTCATGTGTCAGCAAGTTAATCAAAAAGAGACATAAAACTTAAACATATAATAGTGAATCTGGCTGCCTCTAAGAACTACCAACAGGGAAGATAGAAACTTGCGGTTGGCTTGGTGCAAAACTCATTTACACTGGACCAAATCTGATTGGGAAGATGTTATGTGGCACAATGAGAGCCCTTTACTCTTAGATATGAAGGCAAATATGTGTTTGATGTATGCCTGGAGAAACAAATACTTCAGTAACTACCAAGGGCACTGTTAAACATGATAAAAAAAATCAATGGTTGGGTTGCGTTCTCAGGAGCAGGAGAATTGGTAATTTGTACAAAATCAAGTGAATCATAGACCAGTATCAATACCACAACATTCTTATTAATCAAAAGTGGCTTTCTGCTAAAAATGCTTTTTGCCCTAGGTCAATGCTTCACATTCCAACACAATAACAATCCTAAGCATATTGCCTTAAAGAATAAACATTATCTAGAGAGGAAGCATGACAATGTAAATTGTAACTTCTCCAGTGGCCTTTGGGTGATAATGGACAAATATGTCCATAATAGGAAATTTAACACAAAAGATGAGCTTTTTTGCAAATTAAAGAAACTCTAGAAAAATCTGATGAAGGATGTTGACTTACTAAAGAATTTAGTCAATAGCATGCCATGGAGAATTAAGACCATTATTAAAGCAAATGGTTACCCAACAAAATACTAAATCATTTTTTGACTTGTATAATGTACATATGTACACCTGTATTAATACCCTGTATTAATAAATGAATTCTATTACCCACTTGTCTTGGTAAAAATACAAAAATCAACTTTCTATGGCTTTGTCCATTGTTTTGCCTTGTACTGTGTGTATATATATATATATATATATATATATATATATATATAATCATAAAATCATCAGAAAGAAAAGAATTACCGTAATAAAGTATGTTCAGTAGATGTTCTTATTTCAAATTCCTGCCAACAGGTGGCACTCATGCATTGTTTTCCGCTCCAACACTGATTTTGAATTCAGACTTGTTTACATCTGTGCTCTGCCATTGGCGTTCTTTCAATTACATTTCAATAATGATTTAGAATACATTTTTGCCCATGGCTCCAAAGAAAAGTGCTAATGCTAAGTGTAAGGTTATATCACTGGAAGATAATGTGGAAATTAATTATTTTATTCAGAATACTGTATGTACATATCATAAATACTGTAATAGGCAATGGGGAATGCTTATTTGCAGCTTATAGTCTGGTTGTTTCGACTTAAATCTTTTTTCGACCTAAGTTATGACCTCTGGAACCAATTAACAACGTAGAGTGGGGTATACCTATATTATTATTTGATAATTTCAAATGACTAAATCAATTTCATTTTTCTTTGACAATATTTAAAAGGCATACAATAAATCAAAGCAATGTACCATATAGATCAAAGCAATAAAATTTTGGAAGTGAGATAATGAAATTTACTTACAATAACAAACATTAAAGAAACCTAACACTTATCTACTTTTATATGACAACACTATATCTTTATTGTGTACTTGTTATACTACTTAGTAGAGAATATTACAAGTAAGATACTGTTTAAAGTAGTCAAAGGTGCACCAATATTTTATAAAGCCTGTACTATTTTATAACTGATAAAAATAAAATTGCATTTAGGTATTTAGTATACCAACAATACTGCTGGATAAATTATATTTTGGCCATGAATGAATACAGATCTCACTGAATAGGTAAAAAAAAAATGAAACATCTGTCAGGAGACACAATGAATTAATATCCAAGTGTCCATAGTGTTTCATCTGATATCAGTAGTATACAGAGGTCTGGTGATGCCCAGGGCCAAATACTTGATTGTATGCCCCCCCCCCCCGACTCAAGTAGTGGGGGGGCTCTATAGGGCCTAGTACTGAGAAATGTGAGAAAGGAAGACATTTTAAATATGTAAAAACAGTTGAAACATGAAATAAACACTTTATTCAAATTTTTATTTCACTCTTTGATTGGATGCCTTTCCGATATGAATGCCTGGTGCTGTCTGATATTCACATGTCCATTGGAATCTGTAGTATCTGATTGCAATGAAAACCAAGGAATAGTTTTATAGTGATTGAATTTTATTTAAATTGTATTGATGTGACTGAATTTCTTAATATAATTAAAAGACTTAAGCCCACATTTTGCTGGAGCACTTATTTTATGAATGATAAACATACATTCTATTCATAAATAAATTTGCTATTTCTCTTAAAGTATAGAACATTCAACATACATCTTTCACATCCACACAGTAATGGGCAAGTTGAATCTGTATCAAAAGTACTTAAATAATCAAGACATTGGCATATAATACCAACAATTAGAAGTCAAACATAAGGTCATACCAGATTACTTATCCTATGCAAGAATACTAAATGTTACTGATATCATTAAAATACAAACTGCAAAGTAATATTTTACAAAGTAAAACACTCTCCTAACCTGGTTATTGGACACATTGAGACATCCACAGACAAGCTTTAGTATCAACTAAAGTACTTAACATAAATGATCATCAATCGAGATGCGACAACAGTGTGCACATATGTGACATACAAAGACTGGTCAAGAAATGTGAATACAAATGCAGCAGAAACATCAATTGATGAATTAAGTACATTAATTAATACTTAAATGATGATACCAAATGATACCACTAATTGTAAAGATTTTGTATTCTGGATGGTACTTCACCAATAATACCTAAATCCAGCCAACAAAACAATGATTCTGTACATCTGTTTCTTTATGTACATCTAGACATCTGTTTCCTTGTAAAATGGGGCTTTAAAACTTTTAAGATTATTACATTCAGCAAGATAAGTAAATTATTTGTTTCTGATTTGACATTATTACAGATATGTGGAAAGTGTTCAAGCTTGCATTATTTACATTATTTAGACTGTTATCCTCATCTTCATTGCCATATTCACAATGTTTTGGCTGTTGTTCAATCACAGCCTTCTTCAGGTGATTAGAATTTCAAACTGAACCCTTTATTTCATCCACTGGGGTAGATTGTTCTTGTTCTACAAAAATGCTAGGCCACAAAAATCTCCTGAGTTGACCAAGAATAGAAATGAATATAATATGGGAACCAGTAATAAGTAGTACTAGAGAAAAGCAATGAATAACAACAAAAATTTGCAATATAAGCTCTGGTAAAAAACATAAAATAATGATAACAAAAGATTGCAATATGAGCACTGGTAAAAAAAAATGATTGCTGAGACACTAGGTTTATAAAGTCCCAAAAATTCAGACATCTGGAACAGGCTAAACACCAAGACTCCCCATCAATTCAAGGAGAGTTTCTTTTTTTTCACAGAGAAATTGGGACACACCCTTGTCCGAGAAAGAATCCTGTATAACCATTGGATAAAACAGAAACTACAATCTAATATCTCCCAGAGGCTTGAGGCCTTCTTAAACAGAATGACTGATGAAGAAGACTGGAAGAGGATCCCTCACAGCCTGGATAAATCCTTCAGACATGAATTTGATGCATTCAAAGCCTGCCAAGTACAAAAATTAAGTAGTTTGAAAGATCAGAAGGTGATACGCAAGGTCCATCACCAACCAGTACAGGCAGTAGTCAACATCAGTCAACACCAGCTTTGATTTTTAAGTCAGTGTTAAACAATGGTCTCAACTTCATCACAATCATCAGGTGGATACCATACTTGGACATCATTACTCAAATCGAGGAAATAGCCTTGAACTTCCTTCAGGCTCAGCTGGATGAACTAAGATGGAAAGTGAGACAGACACTGGCGAAAACTAAGCTGCCCAAATCAAACATCACAAAACTGGAGAGGCTGGCAATCAGAACCCTACAGAGAAATGAAAATATCATCATACTACCAGTTGACAAAGGCAATACAACTGTAGTAATGGACAAAACAGCATATACAAAAAACTAGAAGACCTCATTGTGAATGCTAGCTACAGTAAAATAAAGAAAGACCCTACAATGAAAACAGAATGCAAACTGTCACAGATCCTAATCAGGAACAAGGACCACTTTGCACCTAAGACATACAGACAATTGTCACAAGCTACCTCATATATAGAGTCTCCCAAAGATTCACAAAGACAGTATTCCGCTCAGGTTGATTGTTAGATGCCAAGGCTCTATGTGCCACCCTCTGAGTTGCTTCCTAGTAGATATAATCAACCCATTAATCGGAAAGTCACCATCATATTTCCAGAACTCTGCTTACTTCGTGGAAATAATCAAGGATTCTCCCATCCAAACCAACCAGATGGTGAGCCTGGACGTGGTGAGTTTGTTCATCAAAGTAGCCATGGAGGAGGCACTCTCAGTAGTCAGGGACAGACTGGCCTCAGACTCCTCCCTAGGAGACCGGACCAGTATGCAAATAGATAACCTGATGGAGATGTGACTTTCTGTACACAAACAACATGATTTCAGTAGATTTAAATATAACTTCAGTAATGTTATTTTTAATAAGTGTTCATATTTGAAATAGATGCCCCTTTTTTATTTCAGTGTGTATTACTTCTATTAGCCTGCACAGGTATCTCCAGCTGGGTTCAAACCTGTGTATGTATATGTGTTTGTGTATATACATATATTAATTATTATTTTTATTATAAGAGATAAAACATTGAAATTGCTACACAAAAGCTTTCATGTTTCAATACTTTGATTGTACTTCAGGTAATAGTAAATAACTGGTAATTAAATGATTTTTAAGAAAATTTAGAAACAAAGTGTTACCTCTTTTCTGAATGTTAAAGCAGAGGGTGAGAAAATATAAGGTCAGAATTAAAAATTTGTATACAGGATACTTCATTTCTAAAAGAGAGGAGATGAATATTTAAATATATTCATGAAATAGATTATAACCAAAATGGATTTTCAAGAATTTTCTTTACTTATTATATCTATCTATCTATCTATCTATCTATATATATATATATATATATATATATATATATATATATACATATATATGTATGTAGAGAGAGAGAAAAAGAGACAGATTGAGAGAGAATTAATACAAGTAAAAGGTTTGTCATTTAGTTGATTGATGTTACCTTCAGCATCTCGAGTACAGAGTTTTGTAGATAAACCCTCTGGGAATCACTCCACCCACTTTTGAGGGAGTAGATCCTGTTAAATTAATAACTGGCTACACCTTTCTAAGCATATCCATCTTCTCAGCACCTAGTTAATCCCACTTGCAGATTCATGTTCATATTTGTGTTTGTTCAACAATCACAGATCTCACCTGTGATTTAAACAACAACTATACTGAGTGAACATTAATTACTGGGAAAGAATGTATCATCTGCTGTGATCAACAGTTTGAACAAGGCTAGGAAGCTGAAATCCTCAGTCATAATGACTTGTAACTTCTGCAACCACTGATGACTTCTAAACAGTTCCATCTACCTAATTTCACTCACAAGGCTTGGATGAAACCATGGTATCATTTGAAAGCACTTTCCAACTGTACACTGGGATCCTCCTCCCCAGGCTCTGATAATATCAGGAAGTCACCTCCCTGATAAATCAACTATGGTGAGATTTGAACCTGGATTTCATGGTTGGAAAGGGGACATTTTAACCACTTGCTCACATGTCCAGACCTTGTTAAATTAAGAAATGATATAAAAGCATACATTTGATTATTCTAACAATAATTCTTGCATTTGTTTTATTTCAGAAAATTTATAAAAAATGAAAAATTATCAGCTGCAAATTTTCTAAAGTGGAATACTTTAGGTAAGTTTGATTAGTGCAAAGATTTTATACTCCATTATAACATTAGTTCTTCTCCCGATTGCTTATTTAATTCTGCTTTTAACTCCCTTCATAAATAAATAAAAACACATTTCACTCCATATAGCTGGAGCTATTGCAGCATTATAGATTTCAAAATTCAAAATTCATGTATTTTTTTCGACAGTATAAGGGAGGTAACTTTTTATTTATTTATTTATTATCACACACACACACACACACATATATATATATATATATATATATATATATATAAATTGTTTGCTGCTACAAGCATTTAAGAACTTTATTACTATACTCATAGTTGACTATTTATTTGGAGCTTTAATTCTTTTACAGAAATGGCTTCTAGGAATTTTTGTTTTTGCTTATTAATATTTTTATGTAATATAGATGTATTTTCTTTTTATTCATATATATCTATATATAATATGTATGTGTGTATTGTGAAGAAATTACTTTTTTTAATTATAGCCACATAGGCTTTATAACAGGCATGTAAACGTAAAATTAATATTCAAGAGAAACCCAATTTTTAGTGACATGAGCAAACAGTTTAGGAATGTCTACTCAGTTCACATTTGACAAATAAAGAGATGCATAGATATATATTTACTGCTTATTTTCATTCTATTGTTTTCGTAAAAACATATTTCTCTAATGTTGTTTTTTAAGCAATGTTTACTTGTCTTCATACCAAAGCTTTTGTGTCTAATATAAAATACCTTACTGTGGAGTTACTGGACATTCATTTTGTCCTTTATGCATTTTCTGTTGTTTTTCTCTACTTTTGAATTCTCTTTACTTTATCAACTTGTCATTGATTATTATTGAAATATTACTTTTTATTCTATTGGGAGCATATCTTCTTGCTAAATCAATATTTTATTGATTTTTAGGAAAATTTCTTAATTCAGTGTTAAATTTATCTGATATTATAACAAAAGTCTTATCCCTTTAATGAAAACTCACATTGACTGCATAAAGTTCTCAATGAAACATTTCTTTATCGATATGAATTGATAAAATTCATGTGAAGAGAAAAGTAAAAAAAAATTCCAAATCTTTTTCCATTATAATAACATATTTTATTATAAATTGGATAGTTTTCTACTGAATTGAAAATAAATAGAGCAAGACTCAAGTGAATATACTTTCCAATTCTACCATCCATTAAGTTTTGTGGAGAAATTGACTGTTGGTCAGGCAGGAAAGGTGCAGTGAACTTACCTTGTGTTGTTGAAATCCTTACTAAACAAAAGGTTTGTTATTATCTTTGCAAACCTTTTATAGATACATTGGTCACATGACAGGGTTAACATGTGATCCCTGAAATTATATAAAAGTAGAGGAAATCTATTTCTCTTTTTTAAAAATTACCTTCCATGTTACCAAGTTTTCAGACTGTTATATGTCATGGAAAACAGCAATCTATTTTGCAACTTAAGGTAGGTGTTATTGCTTTTTATTTTCCTTGAACTGACCAGTCTCTGTTCCTTTTGGGGATTGGGAGCACTTTCTCAACAGGTTCATTAATTTGTGGCTAAAATTAAAAATGGCTTTGTATTGTAAAATTTTTAAAATTATCTCTAGTAAATATGCGGTCCCATTTTTTTACTTGTTCATGTTGAATATGCTTAATATAAATGAATCTCAGACAAAACTTTAGCATTTGCATCCTGCTCGATATTTTTTCTTGTAACGTATTGCATATCACATAGAGGTCTATGTCAAACTGTCCTCCAAAGTTTATTTTTATTGAAATATTAACTACTTCAGAAAAACTGACAAGATATTTTACAAAAGATTTATTTGTACTGGAGTCTTCTTACTCTGATAGGGAATTGGATAATGTTACAGGATAATTTGTATGTGGGGATGTAAGCAATAAAAGAAGTGTTTCTTCTGGAGAGGGAATATTTTTAACCTGATATTACCCTAAAATATTTTAGTCTTTGAGTAGTTAAGAGTCTTTGAAAAGATAAAAGACAAAATTTCTCTAAATATATCAAACTAAAAATAAAAATAAAACCCCTCAAATAAGAAATTTTTAAACAGATAAGGGCAATGATATAAACAGAAATTACCTGCATTTATTTTATTCCCTAATATGAAGTATTAATTTAACACCAAAAGTAGATATTGAGAGTCCATTGAATATTTTTACTGTTTTCTTTTCTTTCAGAAATAAAAATTTTGTTTTTTTTTCATATTATTCAACATTAAGGCCAATTACCTGCTTTAAGCAAAAATAACTTGAAATTTTTGTTGATAAAAAATCAAAATATTCTATAACCTGGTAAAACTGAATTTTGATCTGCTATTTTTACTGCCTAATGTTCAATTTATGTGATTAATGGATAAGTGTTGGATTAAGTACATTGATATGAAAATTGATTATGTTAAAAATAAATATTTGTTGTGCAAAATATGCTTTTTTCATCAATAATGCTTGTTGATGTTCCTATGTCAATATAAGAATGTTATTGAATTTAAAATTTATTCTATAGATGTTCTTCTAAATTCTTAAAATAATTGCAGGTTTATGGCATTCACTTGTGTTTTTCTTTGGTATGTATTACTTATATGGAGATGGTGCATCATTATTTGATAATGCTCAGGTAAAAATTCAACCTTTATTGTTTTTTTAAACCAATATTCTATTTAATATTTTTAAAGTATAACTTAGATAATTACTGGAACTTTATTCTTATCAGTCTCAACACTACCCTTCACATATTTGGTTGAAAGCCAGAAAGGTATCCATCCATGCATATCATGTCTTGGGTAGGTAGACCTGCTGGCATCCATCTCAAACTTGATGGCTCACCCTGGTCATGGACACATGGCCATTCATTCCATCAAAGTAAACCTGGCCATTGACTTCAGTCTAGAAAGCCTGTTGCTCAATGATGCTGTACTATCACTGCACTAGCTTCATCCATAGCTATGGAGCCCAGTCTACTCCATTGTGCTAGATGGCCGTTGACTCTACAAGAAGGTTCATCTGCTCTTTGACAGGACCTGTTTTTATTCCTGTTGAGTGTCAAGCTACCCTCCTCACTAGATAGCCTATCCTTTTTCAAGCTGATTTTGAATTCAGAGTTTTCCTTTTCCTAGACTGGTTATCAATCAAGTCTATTTAATCTATAACTGGAGCAGGAGAAGAAATGGATTCATAATGTTCCGAAGGGTATTTGTGCAAAGTTGTATGTAACAAATACAGCTGGAATTTTGAAGCATGTCACTTTCTATTTCTGAGTCACTATGTGCACATCCTATTTATTTAACTTCCCTATTAACTATAATATTTTCTTTTTGGAATATAGATAATTATATGAAAATACTACATTTTATGCATATCTTCTTTTCATTGTTATTTTTTTTCTTGAATCATTAAGAACTTATTGTTAAAATTTAAAGAATTGTAATATGAAACATTGTAAAACCTAAGTACTTCTGAATACCCAACATTAATATTTCTTTATAATTTGTATGTTGCAGCAATATGGAAATTGGGGTTTTGGTTTTATTGTTTGTTTAGTTTGTGTGATAACAGTCAATGCCAAGGTAGGTAGAATATGATATTGGCAATATTTAAATGTTATCATATGAAAAAAATGTTTCCATTCTTTTTTTTTAAATAGTTTTTAACATATTTGAAAATACATTTACTACACAGCCAGATTAAGCATATAGCATATTTTGTAAATGAGGCCTAAATTAAAAAATACACATAAATATTAAATCATAGATTATTCAGTAGCATAGTAATAGCACTTATAAAAAGAGGACAGCTTATATCACAGAAATGTGTTATGCCCTAGATTATTACTGTACTATTGTGTTGGCATAGGCAAGTGACATAAGTGCTTATTCACAGAAAATCATGAGTATATTCTAACTTACATGGAAAATCAAGTTATGATGCATCATAGGAATGTAACTGTGTTGTTAGTTGAGGAACCTCTGTGTGGTGTTTGTGTCTGTGTGACTGTGTATTTATATTCTTACGACCCTCCCCCGTCCTCCAACCCTATCGATAGTGGAGGTAGAGGAGGATTGTAACCTGTGTTATTTTTTTTTTTACATTTACTCAATTTTTGTAAAATATATTCCTTTCCCAAGGGTCTCTTTCCGATTAATCAGACACAGCCAAGAAGAATCAATTAAGCAACAAACATGATAGGTGGCAAACAATGATGGAGACAAGGAATATGAATTTATTAACAAACATAAAAACATGGGAAAAATAAAAAGGCAGGCAAAACAAAAATGACAATGTGTCAAGAATAAACATTTAAACATTATGGACAAAATAGTGGGAGGTGAACATCCTGTAAGAAAGGTAAAACACACATCAACATATGGCCTTATGCCGTACATGCATGAATTTACAAAGCATCAAAATTTTAAGACAAGAAACATGTAATAAAAAGGATCTCATGCTAAACTTGCATGAAGGTACAAACATAAAAAGTACATTCAAACAAAAACGAAGCACAAGAAAAACAACAAACTTATCTCATAATAAAAGTTCTTTTCCACTAATGTCTCTCATATCTACTTCTATTTTTTTTTAATCTCTTTCCTTTTCATTTTCCTTTCCTATTTCTTTTTATAAGCATCTCCCCTTGAGGTCTTTTCTTACTTCCTCTCTTTTCGTCCTGTCTAGGGGCTTGGGTGACTTATTAAATTGAAACTGCTTTCTTTCTTTCATCTCGGTGTAGCAGCATTCTCGTTTGTGGTGGTCTTTTCTTACTTTCTTTCTTTTCTCTTTCATCCTTTGTTTAGGGGCTTGGATGACGATTAAGTTGGAACTGCTTTCTTTCTCTCTCTCTCTCCGTCGTCTTGGTGTGGCAGCATTCTCCTTTGAGATCTTTTCTTCCTTTCTTTCCTTTTCCCATAAGTATCTCTTTTTGAGAACTTTTCTTACTTTCTTCTTTTCTTTTTCTATAAGCGTCTGGTCTTGGGACTTGGGTGACGGATAAATCGAAGCTGTCTTCTATCTCTCTTTCATCCCAATGTAGCAGAATTCCACGTACGTCATAGTTGATTTCCCAGGATTCAAACATTTCTTTCACATTCCATGCACTTACGTTTAGTCTGTTCGAGGTTCAAAAATGGAATTTTCTGCATAGCCAATCAAAACTTTTGCATTCATAGCAAACGGGTCCATCTGTTCTTTTCAAAGATGAATTCTCTTTCTCATATTTTTGCAAACACGTTCATCCGGCCCTAAAGCCTGGACAAAACTAACTATTTCATTTCACTATTTGTTTCTTTTTTTTTTTGTTGTCATGTGATCAATTTTCAAATACAAACTTTTTCCCATTGTGGGTAAAATGAGGTCATTGACCACTTCTCTCATCTGCGAGATCACAGAAAGTTTAGTTTAAAGTGTTTCAACTTTTCCTTTCTGAAATCTATCCGTGTAAATTATGCTGTCAACACATTGACCAAAAGATAAAGAAAGGGTACATTCTGGTTAATCTTTGTCACAACTAAGTCTACCTATGTCTTTGGGTTTACTATCTTTCTGTTTTCTGCAAGTACTGGGCTCTTTATTTTAGAATGCTTCTAAAATATAAGCAATGGTATAGTTTTTATAATAAATTTAGGTGGGTGTTCATAACAATATATATATATATATATATATATATATATAAGTTGAAGATCTAATGTAGATAAGAATTTGAGATGATGATAAAATGAAGGACAAGTAGGAAACATATCTCAATCCACCATGTTTCACTTTCATTAAAGCTTCATCACAGATCGAGATAGAAATGAAAAAAGCAAAGAGACAGAGCATTTATCTTTATTATCACTTCCTTATGGAAAGGTTATTGTTATAATACACACTCATACATGGTATAACGTAATTTGTTAAAATATTCTCTATACATTATGCTTAGGTTATTACTATATGACTGTATAGTTAAGATGAAGACTGACTCCAAAATGACTACTTCTTCAACCTCATACCATAGAACTCTTTATAATATTGGACGAGTTCATAGTCACCAGGGGGTGTACACTTTACTCCACAATACCCACACTTTTGAGATTACTATTTTATTTTTATTTTGCATTAGTATCTACCCCTCCTCTTTCTGGAGAGTTCACCAACATATTTTACTTTGTAGCATTTCCATCTTGGATCCACTTTTAGTTCTTCTGTACATTTTCTTTTCTTTGAACTTGTCCTTGTTGATTTCATGATTTGTTTTAGTACTAGTGCATCAAAAATGTCATACACCATTTTAACTGATCCTTCAGGTCTTTCATTAGGTAATCTTTTCTTCAGCTGATTTTGGTGCCTTTTATTTTGGATTTTTTTTCTTTCACCATCTTGACCAATTTTCTGATTCTAGCTGCTATTATGCTGTCTTCCCATATTTCCTTTCCATCCTTGTATGCTCTAATGAATACTTTATAGCCTACCTTGAAAATGTTGGTGTCACTTTTATAAACCCTTTGGGATTTTTGACTTGGCAATAACTTGTCGAACACTGATTTTACCCTTCTGACAAACATTAATTCTACTGGCAACATGCTTGATGGTATGTTGGGGTTAGGTGTTAACCAATACACTCTCAAAAAATTTTGAAGTGCCTCCTCATTTAATTTGTCCAGACTTGCTTTTTTCAACACTCTTTTGAATGTTCCCACAGACCATTCTGCTTTTCCGTTAGACCTTGGGTGATATGGTGGGATTGTATTAATGTTCTATAGAGAACAACTTGCAAGTCTTGAAATTCTTTTCCAGTGAATTATGTTCCATCATCCAATACTATGGTATCTGTTATGCCATGTCTTGCAAACAGTTCATGCAAGAAATTCACTGTCACTGAGGATGTAGGATTTTTGCCCTTGTAAATTTCCGGCCATTTCATAAAACTACCAACTACCACTAGATAATATGTTCCATCCATAGGACCTGAAAAATACATGCACTCTTGACCATGGAATGTTTGTCTTTGGTTAATATTCTATCTTTGTGATAGGTAGTTTTGCTACTAGAGCACAACCTCTACATGCTCTATATGTATGGTATCTTGGTCCATTCCAGTCCAATATACTAAACTTCTCATGAGAAATTTCATTCTTGAAATGCTAGGATGTCCAGAATGAAAATCCTTTAATATATGTATCCGCAACACACACGGTATTACAATTCTTTGTCCTTACATTACAACATCATTGCATATTGAGTACATGTTAAGTTCTTGATTCTATTTTTTAGTTTCTTTTAATTGCTTCTTTATTTTAGCAATAAAGATGTCCTTTCCTGCTTTTTCTTTAATTTCATTCAGTGTAACTGGTAATTCCCATACTACATTGCACAGAATGTTTTTAATTTCCATCTTGTTTTTAGTGCTGCTATGACCATGTCCACCAATGGTTCTGCATTTTTAGGTATTAACCTCGATAATCCATCCACATGTCCTAATTTTTTAGATGATTGGTACTCTATCGTAAAATTATAATTTAATAGGATGGTACCCCAGCACTGTAATCTGTTAGCTGTATGGGTATGTATACCTTTCTTTGAACTATATATCGCTAACAGTTTATGGTCTGTTTGCAATGTGAAATTTTTTCCATGAATAAATTTATCGAATTTTTTATAGCAAATATGATTGCTAGAGCTTCTTTCTCTATCTGGCTGTAATTCCTCTCTTCCAGTAGAAGCAAGCGTGAAGCATGAGCAAAAGCTTTCATTTTACCACCATCCTATTTGTGTAAAATCATCACTCCAACACCATAATCACTAGCATAAGATGCTACTATCATTTTTGCTTTTGAATCATAGTGTGCTAATGTTAAATCAGACGTAAGACTTTTTTTTTATCTCATCAACCGCTTTTTGATATTTATGATCCCATTTCCACTTTACTCATTTTTTCAGTAGATTGTTAAGTAGAGCTGTCAAATTATTTATATTATGTACATAAATTTGATAATAATAAGCCAGTCCTAAAAAATTACATTTGTTGGTATAGGCATATTTCTAATTGCATTTGCCCTCAACAGATCTGGTTTCTTATCAGTTTTCTCAATAATTTGATCCTGGTATTTTATTTTTGGCAAAAACAATCTACATTTTTCTTCACTAAGCTTGAATATGTACTTTCTTAGTTTTTGCATAATTGTTTTAATATGCTCAATATGTTCTTCTTTCAATACACTCTTGATCAAAATATCATCCAGAGATGCCACTGCGAAATCACAATCTGCCAGCATGGTATCCATGACTTGAAAAATAACTGGTGTCACCTTTATACCAAAAGGAAGTTGATTAAACTTGTATAATCCTCTGTGCATATTTATGTTCGTTAATTCAGAACATTGATTTTTAATCTAAATTTGTAAATATGATTCAGAAAGATCCAGCTTTGTAAATATTTTTCCACCATTCAACTTCAAAAAAATTTCTTCTAGACTTAGTAATGGGTAATTGTGTGTTTCAAGTATTTAATCCAGTTGAGAAATTCACACAAACACGAATTTTGTCATTTCTTTATTTTATGTACACTGCTGATGCAGGCCATTTCAAATGGTTTACTTTCTGCAATAAACCAATTCTTTCTAGTCTGTCCAACTCTTCATTTACTTGTTCTATGCTCCGTTTCAATTTAAATACTGGCATCAAACCTTTTTTACTTGAGAATTGACCTTGTACTTGAACACTGACCTAGTTCATTAGACAGAACATCAGGAAAATATTTTTTTAATTCTTCCTTAAGTTTTTTGATGTGACTTTTAAATTTGTTGCTTGTTCGCTTACATTTTCAAAATGAGCATTTATTGGCAAATCCCACAGTTTGAATAGTTCTACCCGGTCCATACCAAATAGAGTTGTCGCATTTCTTAGAATGCAAGTTTTTGTTTTTACCTGATTATTTCAAAAATAAACAACACATGTTAATTCTCTCCCCCCCCCCAAAAAATAATTTCTCTCCAGAAATTGAAGTTGCAAATTTGTAAGTCCTTTTTAATAAAGGTTTTCCAATTTCTTTCTATGTGGTTTCATATACTATTGAAATGTTACTACCAGTATCTAGTAACATTTTTACTCCCACATTATTGATTTGCATGTTAACAAATTTTCTTTTATTTCATGGGCATATTTTTTTCTGTCGCAATATTGTATATTAATTTCTTCCTGCAAAAATTTTTTCTTGGTTTAGTTCTGCAGTGTGATTTTATATGTCCTTTTTTTACCATAGTTATAGCATTCAGCATTTTTCCATGGACAGTCTTTCCGAAGATATAATTTTCCACATCTGAAACAAAGTTTTATATTCCTTTTTGTGCATTTTCCTTAGCTTTTACCAATGGACATTTTTTATTGTGAAGTTTTTAGCATCATGCTTCAGATTTAGCATTGTTTGACAATCGTCCACTATTTCCTGTAAGGTTACATTATTATTATGTTCAATCTTTGCTAAAATTTTCATTCATACTTCTTTTTCCACTGTTAGATTAGACCATGCATGAAAATGAATCTCTTGAACACATCTGGAGTTATTTCCTTTAGTTTATATTCTTCATGTTCTCCATTGATGGAACCAGCATATGTGACAAAATATTCATCCTATTTTTTGGTTAAATTCATGCACCTCCAACAAGCATGGAACAGAGAGCACTTGTCACTAAAAAATTTTGTCAGAATGGGTATTGTGTTTTCAAACCCTATTTCACCTGGTTTTCTCAGTAAAACATAATTGCAGTACTTTTTGTACTTTATTGGAACTATTTTTCCTTAACAACCTGTTTTTTTTATCTTTTCCACTGCATTCCAGACTAAATGCTTCTTCATGTCTGTGAAAATATACAGCAAAAGTCAGTCTGTCATCATTATTGTATACAAATTCTGATACAGTGTTTTGCACCATGTCTGGTATCAGAGATGTTGAAGTATCTTTCTTCAAAACCACTTCCAACAAGTCTCATTGTTGTTTTTGCAACTGTAGCAACTGTTGTATATTTTGTTGCTGTTGCTTCTGTTGTTGTTGAATTTCAACTATTGAAGCCAAATTTTTCTCCATAACCACAAAAAAATTTTTTAGTAGCATAGTTGAAATTCTTGTAACTACTATTACACACATATGAGTTATGAAAATTTGATCACCCACTATTATAACTCCAGTTATAATGTGGTACTTGTTATACTGTGCTTGGGTTCAAGTTCTTCATTACCAACTATTATAACTCCAGTTATAGTGTTGCAATTTTATCCAGCACTTGTGTTCGCATTCCTCATCACCAAATATTATAACTTCACTTATAATTTTACTATTTTATCATTTACTTGTGTTCAAGTATCCTCATCAACAACTATTATAACTCCAGTTATAAAGTTTTTGATTTTTTATCTATATTTGCTAGATTTAGAGATCCGAGTTGTTAACTATTATAACTTCCTTATGGAAAGATTATTGTTATAACACACACTCATACTTAGTATAATGTAATTCATTAAAGTATTCTCTATATGTAATACTTAGGCTATTGCTGTAACGTCTGTATAGTTATTATGAAGACTGACTCCAATACAACTACTCTTGACCTCATATTGGACGAGTTCATAGAGGCACCAAGGGTGTACTCTCTATTCCACAACACACTTATGCACTTACATGAATTAATGTTACTGTCCAACATAAACCTAGACACACAATTTTTTTGCATACACACCCTTACACTATTGCACATTTTAACATCCAAAATATTTCTCACACATATTTATATATTATCTACTATTTACGTGAAACATATCTGACAAATAAGAACTAACCAAAAATCTTAACATATCAGTACTCTGTCTCTTTACTTTTTCATTTCTTGATTTCTGACAAAGTTTTCAGAAAAGTGAAACATGTTGGATTGAAATGTTTCCTACTTGGAAACTTGTGCTATGACTAAGGCCATACTTTCACAGAAATTAACATTGTCAAGCATTTTTTTTTTATCTGTCTTGGTAATCTAGGTATTGAGGACTATACTGAGTAGATAGGTGTTTATCATTAGGCTTTTCTTTTCCTTTTTTTTTTCTTCTTTTTTCTTTTCTTCTTTTCTTCTTTGTTTCTTTTTTTCTTTTTCTTTTCTTTTTCTTTTCTTCTTTCTCTTTTCTCTTTTTCATTTCTTTTTTCTTTCTTTTCTCTTTCTTTTCTTTTTTTCCTCTTTCTTCTTATTGCTTTCCTTGTTCAATATTTTAAATTGTTTAAGGCAAGTTGTCCATTGGTTCTACCAATGATTTTGGTATTTCTTTAATATATATATATATCTATATGGCAAACTCAATAGACGCAAAATGTTTATACTCTTTCATATGGCATATTTGAAGGAACAATTGGTGCTTAAATGTACTAAATTTTATATATATATATATATATATATATATATATATATCTATATATATATAAAAAAAGTGAAAAAAGTGCTCAATATTAAAGGACTGTGAACCATATGTATCAACACTAGATATCAATAGCCTGGTTCATGCTTAAGTACAATCTCGAGGATTATTTATGCTGACTGTTGCTATTCAGTGTTCATACCTATGTCCATACTGCTTGTTATACTTATTACTGTAAATGTTATATTAAGTGTGTATCTTTCTTTTAAACTGTGAAATTAATGCCTACCAACCTAGAGATTATGAATTCCTACAACAGAGAATGTACCTTTTGAAATTTCTTTTAGTATGATTTCTGATAGACATTAATTTCACTTTAAAAAATGAATAAATAAACAGGAATATCTATTTAAACATATTCCCCCACTAAATATAACATTTTTAATAAGAAGAAATAATGTTGAATTAAAAAATCCTTCCAATGCTTTAAAATATATTTTTTTTACCCCCAAACAAGGTGATAAAGCCCACTAAGATGTAAGTGGTTACTGAAAGTGAAGGAAACTGAGAAAACTTTATTGAATATAGACTAAGATATTGATAAAAGCTGCATAACAATAAGATCTCCACTGTACATCTATATAATAAATGCCAATATCAATGTATCACACTTTTTTAATTAAAGGGACACAACTCTCTAACTTTTAATAGCTCTTCTTCTTCTTCTTCTTCTACTATATAATAAATGTGAATGTTAGCGTGTCATTGTGCCACACTTTTTCACCTTTACTCCTAGAGGCTTTAATCCAACATATTATACCATTTTGGAATCAGGCTGACTTAATGAACAAATTAAAAACATTCCAGGCCGGATCTAGACCCACAATCCTGAAACTTTGGATTTCCAAGTTTTCATTACATTCACGTTTTTTGGTGATTTTTTGCACATGATTATTTTTTGTGACAAATTTTTTTCTACATTAACAATTTTTATAACTTAGAAACAAATAATTGTTTGTACAGAAAGTAAGGACCTATGTACATCAAACTGTCTTTAACTTAAGTTGTGGCAAAAGAATTATCATTGAACTTTTAAAAGGCAAGCTTAAATAGTAATGCAATACTTAAAAGCAGCGATCAATTTTGAGTTCTTCTCTAGTTTATTGATGCCAACTCCTCCTTGCCTATTGTGATGAAGACCCAATCAAGAGCCCTCCAATAGGGCTGCTTTTAAGCTAGTATTATATAAATATGTACTCTTTGCTAGAAATTTCTATTCTCTATTGTCTTCTTTTTGTTTTCAATGCCTTCATATTTAATTACACATTACTTCTTTTATTCTTTGCAGCTTGCTCTTGAGGTTTATTCTTGGTCCATATTTATAGTGTTAGCTTTCTTGCTCACTATTATCTTTTTCTTTGCTCAAGTATTGTTCTACAATAACTTCATATGGTGAGTAGCCATAAAGATAAATTGGTATTTAATTATTATTAGTTAGAATCTATTATTCTTAGATTATTATTAAACTTGTGACCAAATTACATTTCTTTAAATACTTGATATTTTTGTAGAATAAATGTGAAATAATTGTAATAAACATGCTTGCAAAATAGTTTGAAGTTGAAACTGTAGACTGTTGCATATTTATTGGAATAATGAGACTTCCAATTATGAAACTTTCAATTAATTTCAAGTAATGAGACTTTCAATTATGTCTGGTGAGATTGATCCTCTTTGAGCCAAAGCTTTCCAAGACTGATTTAGAAATAGGCAAGTTAAGAGATTCAATAATTTGCCATATTTAATATATTTACTAAGATTTAAAGAATAATGCTATTTTTTACAAACGATGATCATTTAACAAATATGCTGATAATTTAAAATAAAAGTTTAATAACTATTTACATTATTTACATTATTTGGACTATTGTCCTCATCTTTATTGTCATATTTTGTTTGAAATTCCAGAATATATCACCAGAAGAAGACAGCTGAAATGTCATGAAAAGATGAGGACAACAGTCTCATCAATGTAAATATTGTAAATAGTTACAATAGCTCATCTCAGAAATATAGACAGAAGTGTAGTAATGCTTTAATTATTTCTGACTTGTTTCTGTTTTTTTCTCTTAGGGGTAACATACTAGACGGTGATTACTTATACATGGTAGTCTTCACTATACTGTCCAGTGCCTCTGTATGGCTTGCAACTCTCATTCTCACCATCATTGCTCTACTGCCTGATTTTCTCATTCGATTAGTTCAAGATACTAAATATGATTCAAAATTCAGAAAACGAAAGGTAAGTTCATATTTTTATTCTTGCAATGTAGGAAGATACACGGCAAATATCTGTTATTTGATCTTTGTTTTCACATGTGTTTTGACTTAACTCCAGGTCCAATAAACTAGGAGAAATATCTCTTTCTATCTTCTAGGTATTGCAAGCACATTGGATTTATGTTCTCACTAGTTTTTTTTTCAACTGCAGATGTGTGGGTGGACAGAAAGCTCCTGTAGAATTAAAAGATTTAGAATGTTTGCAAAATTGGTACTGCTGGTTTGAATTTATTTTAGCAATATGTATTTGCATCTCACAGTTCTGTATGATATGCAGTTATCCCTATTCAGATGTTGATAAATTTTAAAACTTGATTGTGTTAATGTTTTTGAATCGATATGCTTATTTATTTCTCTATTGCAGATCAACTTTTTTGAAAACAGCAAGTTAACATTGATATCATTCACAAAAAGATCAGGAACTTTAACAGTCTCTCAAATGAACATTATTGGAGACTAGGTAATTCAATTGATGTTTCTAGTTTGGAAATGGTGGATTCCTATCCAACCAAAGAAGGCAATAGAAATAATTGTAAGGCAACATTGTTGTTTCAACATACAAAGGATTCAGTATATATGTATGTGTATAATAGTAAGTACATTTGATAGTGACTACCCCACCGACAAACTATTATTTTTGACCTTATGTAAGTGGTTACTGTCCATTTATTAGTACTGTTAAAATTTATTCAAACTCTTTAATGCTATTAACCTGTTTGTGACTAAATTTTAACCAATTCAATGTTCTACTTTTTACAGATTTTTTCACATTGATATTATAATTGATTGATAGATGCTTGATTTAACTAAAAATCCATATATATAGACTTGAAACCAATATATTTAGAATAATACCTACAAGCATTGTCTTTTTTTAATTAATCAGTCTTTTAATAATTTAGCCATTGCAAATAACTCTAATTTAAAATAATTTATTTGGGAAATTTTGTTTTGCTAAATATTCAGTACAAACATGCAACCATGTGAAATTAATATCATATTAGAAGTAAATTTAGCAAAAGGAAACCATTTTATGAAAGAAATAGTTGTAATGCATAATTTTATTAGCAAAATAAAGAAAGTGACTGCTAAATAAGGAAATTTCTTTTATTTGTTGCAAAAATAAAATTTACTGCATTATTCTCATTATACTTAAGCATGCAAATTCATTGTAAATTAATTTAGGAAAAAATTGGTCTCATTTAGCAAGAAAATTATTCACTTAACTTTATTTCAAATTATTGATTTCTTCTTAAAATAGATTCTAATTGCAATTTTTTCTTCTGAAAATGTTTTTTTAATTAGATCTAAGGCAATATGTGATATATTTTGAAGATTTTTCAAATGGTTTGTATAACAATTTTAAAATTAAAAAATAAAACAATTTAAAATGCTTTCTTTTAATTTTATCTCCTATCTGATTTTAAAAAAATTGTTTTCTAATTTCAAGTAAAAGTACAATTAGAGTTACATGTCTACAAAATTTATAAATATATGATTATTAAGGATAATGATAAATATATACATAGGTGATATATAAATATGATACAAGATGTGTAATAAATAAAAAGTTGCTTTAAAACTTTTTTGTATCAAAAAGGTAAAGTAATTGTAATAACAAAAGAGAGCAAGAGTAGGCTAAAAGAAGCTTTGTTCTACTTAGAATAATTGATACCAACGTAGTGACTATTTATAGTCCTTTACAAACGAAAGAGTTCTCCAAAGGGAGGTAATCATAAAACAAAGGGATATTAGTCTCGATTATCTTATCACTGTAATGTCTATAAAAAAATTAAAACTCAAGGGGAAGGACAGCATTTTTCTTAACCCTCAGTACAAGATAAATCTGTATTAAGAATTGGTTTAATAAGGTACCTGAACACATTTTTCTCAGCAAGGGACACAACTCTACTTTACTTAAAGCAATGAGTTAGTAATTCAATATCACATTTCAGTAATTAACAAGTATCAGTAAACATGTTTGATAGGATATAATAGAAATGCTTGATTCACATGGAAAATGTGACACAGAAATCTCAATTCACATAGAAATAGCAAAAGATGCCTTCATAAAGGCAAAGTATTAAGAGAGAAAATGTCTTTAAAAGAACATAGTGCTGAAGTGCTAATAAGTAATCTATTTTATGGCAGTTGAAGAGTTTTTAAGCAACAGAAATGTGATTCTACCAGCAAATTCTGAAAATATCCTGGACAGAACTTGTGAGCAATGGAGAAATTCTAATAAAAATAGAAACTATAAATTGCTGCTAACAAATCGGAAAGAAACAGCTGAAATTTCTGTGACACATAATGAGGATAGAAGACATGGAGAATTTAACACTCATTTATTGAAAGAAAGAGAAGCAGGTGAAAGCAGCAAGCAATTTAATGAGCTTTTGAGTGAATGGATGACAGAACAGAGATAAAGATAGATGGTAAAGGGTCATAAGTTACTCAGAACAAAAGAAAAAATTTTGAGTCATAATTGCCGATATGAAAGGACATGGTACATGAAAACTA